AATGGACGCTAGGCACGGCCACCTTTTTTTTTAAATTATTTTTTTTTCTTTAGCTGTGGCAAATGTTTTTTTCCCTTCCAGACGGCGGCCGTCACATTTTTGCTCCATTTGTAGACTGGAAGGATATAGTTTCGTCGCCCAGCTTCTGAGTTAAGTGCATGGTGTGACACTGTGAGCTACGTATGTTTTTCGTTGGTACAGGGGTAACCCGTTTGCTATGAAGCTGAAACTAGGATTACCAGATTACCTTTACTACACATGTAAATGGGCCTCAAGAGGTATATGCCTTGCTGAAATGCTTTCAAATAATGCGCAGGGTGGAAAAATACAAATAACAAACGTGTAGAATAATTTGAAATTCCCAGAATATGTGACATGATGAACATATATATTTAGGCTCGTTAGCCCTGTCCTAACCTACCCCACCTCCCAATTTGTTAAGGGGTGTAATGGACTGTCACCCTCCCTAAAATTGTTAGGAGCCTAAGAGGCCCTCTTAACCATATATATATATGACTCAGTCCATTACACCTCTTTAAAAAATGGGAGGTTGGGGAGGGGGGGGGAGAGGTTAAGGCAGGGCTAACGAGTCTAAATCCACAGGTTCAGGAACCTCTTATAGATTGAATACTCCAAAATCACTTGGACTTGAGCGCCTAAGTGCACCAAGACTTACCCACACTGGACTGCAGGTTACTTCCTAACTGTTTTGTGGTGCCCCAATATAACAGTGCTGTATGGTTGAACGTGTGGGTTCTGAGGCCCAAATGTGAAGAGAATAAGAATAGAGCCACTGCATTTCTAACAAGCATTTTGTAAAAGGCGACTAATTAGGGATGTTTTTTTTCCCGTAGTATGAATGCATTTGCCAAAAGGATGAGGAGCCAACAGTTTGCATGAATGGATGGATGCAGGGAAACGTCTGCATACAAATAAGCCTGATTTGTTCACGCAAGACGCAGGCCCTAGAACAAGACCAAATTCCAGAAGTGGACGAACAACTAGAAATTTGCGCTGGAACGCTAAGCAGAACAAAAATAAGTACCTGTTGTATTCTCATCTTTAAAATGTGAGTCCAACTACAGTAATCCCGATGGTAGAAAACCCCAAAAATAACAACAATAATTATGACAATATTCCTAATTATTAAATGGTACAGTTCAGTCCTAGGGAAGTATAGGCGGCCGACGCGATGCTGACCACATTACCCTTTGGTCTATAAAATATAGGTCTAGCCCTATATACCCAACACGCCTGAAAGCGTGGAAAAGGGTCTTTTACTTACTTTCTTATTATTTATTATTCATAAATAAATAGCCGAGTTTGGCTACATGGCAAGTCTACAGCCAACATCTGGCCACCCCGATTTGAAAGACACAAACATACTCCATAAGTCACCGCGGTGTCCCGCCTGGTAATTTTCTATATTTTCATCAAATTACAATCTTTCAAATTCACGGGATGGCTGAGATATCTTCTCTAATCTGTGATGATGTTACTTGTGACTTGTGTCGGATTATATCAAACGCTGTTCTCTGTTGTGAGGTGTAAGAATGGGAAAGCGTCGGACGGAGGTACATTTCAAATCATGGGTGACCGTGCTGAGCTGATGTGGCAGTGAGACTAAACACACGCTACATGTTATTGTAGGGACACGATGGCGTTGTCGGGGTGTTTAGGGAGAATAGTTTGATTTTGCTCTTTATGCTAAGCGTTTGTGAAATTTGTGAACTTTTTTAAATTGCTGTAGAAATTATTTTTGCATCGTTCAGGCGTTCAGTTAGAGTTTGACTTTGACGATACTGATAGGGCCGGGATAGTCACTGGAAAAAGTAAGCTAAATGCTAAGTAAATAAGTAATTTAAATGGATAAACACGTCCTCATACATGCACAGAAGCTTTTGAATAGGGGCAGTTGGCGTTGTGGAAATATTACGTAAAATAAGGGGAAGTTCAGTTCTTTCTTCTGCTGGCTCTCCTCCGAACTTCTACCCCTGCAGTATATTGCGGCCTGAAATACGTTCGGGGCACAGTCCAATTAAAAGTACGGACTTGTCAGAGTTCCCACCGAGGAACAAATTGCGGCAAAACTAAGAGTACCTTACAATGTCACGAGACGCAACATTGCTGACGATAGTAGTAGACGATAAAAGCGACCGGAGACAAATGTCGAGCGTTTTCTGCAGACGATACTAGCAGACGATAAAAGCGACCTTTGACAATTTTGAGACATTAAAGACGATGAAAGCGATATGGCGGGTAGGCCACGCGCTCCCATGCAGATTAGCAATACTGTTCTTCCTTGAGGATTTAGCAGCGGTAGATGTCAGACTTGTTGGCATGCGCAAAACGCGATTAAACTCACCGCCGAGGCTAAACTAAACTAGGTGCCTGGGACTCAGGAGCAAAGTAATTGGAGGAAGTTGCAGGAGATGCGGTAGCTGCCGCTCTTGAGTCTCAGCCATCTAGTTTAGCCCCTATCGGCGCGGGGGATACGCTCGGCGGTGAGGCATAGTCACATAAACAGGTCTGCAAGTAACATATCGCTGAGACCCTGTTAGAGCATTTGTTTCGTAATAAGGAACCGGCATATTTTTAATTGGACTGCGCCCCGAACGGAATATTTTAGGCCGCAATACTGCGGGGGTAGAAGTTCGGAGGAGAGCTCTTCTGCTTCATCGTTGGTCCGGGTGCTGCAAATGGGTTGTGCCTGTTTACTACAGCATAGCTGCGATCGGTAGTCATAGTCCCGCAGGTCAGACACATCTCATCTGGTTCACTAGTGCGGCTCTATCAGTAAGAAAACTGAGGGGAGGGTGTGTGGTGGAAGTTACCTTTTCTTCATGCCTATAGCTGAAATCACAGTATGATTTCCTTTTTTTTAAATACATTTTTTGTGGAATTAGCAAACTATGTTAGTAATCACCGTAGCATTTAATTTCTTTAAAAAAATTTAAGTTTGACGGTGAGGTGATGAAGAGAATATACACACTGTTCTTGTATGGGTGTGGTGATTCTGGCTTTGGAGGGTGCACGGTTGCAGTAAAGTATTAATATTTAACCCTTTTGTCCCACTAACCTAAAAAAAAAAACCCAGTGACACTGACCCATATTTGGGAATTCCCTTACTAAAAAATCCTTTAAAAAAACTTTGATTTCATTTAACAATAACAATTTTAACAGTTCTGTTAAAATATAGGGGACCAAGACCCCCCCCCCCCCCCCCCAAATCATTTTCTATGCAAAATAAGAAGAGTTATCAATAGACATAAATGCAGCAGATAATGAAATGACTTACACCTCTGTTTAAAAAAATGTATACAGTGACTCATATTTGACCTGCTAAACCTGTCACATAACTTCTAGTGTTAACGAGAAATTATGGCACCATAACTTCTAGTGTTAACGAGAAATTATGGCACCATAACTTTTAGTGTTAATGAGAAATTATGGCACCATAACTCCTACGCCTAGTGTTAACGAGAAATTATGGCACCATAAGTTCTAGTGTTAATGAGAAATTATGGCACCATAACTTCTAGTGTTAACGAGAAATTATGGCACCATAACTTCTATTTTAAAAGGCCATTTCTTCATAAGCCCTGATTTGAGCCTGACCTCCCCCCCCCCCAAAAAAAAAATTAACATTGACCTCCAGGTCAACCCAGCCTTGAGTGGGTGCCAGGTCAGTCCTGAGAAATAAAGGTGGCCGGCCTGATGCTGACCACATCGTTCACAAAGTGCCCATTGGTCTATAAAATAAAGGTCTAGTCCTTTATGGCCAGTACACCTGAAGGCGTTCAGAAGTGTCCATTACTTGACCTGTTTGCTCCTCAGGACATTTGCCCCAACCCACAGATGCTGCTTTTAGTAAATATAATTGATTGTGGTTTCCCTAAAATTTTGAGCGGCTGCATACAATGCCCATGCTGTTAGCCACAGCCTCCTGTAGCTATTTTTCCTGCTGCAGCCCGGCCGTGTTGTTAACTGTAAGTAATGTAATAGGACCCTTTTCTACGCCTTTCATTAACAGACCACTATAGACAAGTATGAAAAGTGGCATTTATGGGGTATTTATTGTACACAACCAAAAATGTTGATCTTGCGACTTTTCATGTTAACAGAGTCAAATTTATTCAGTTTGATTTCTCTTCTTATACTTTGTTTTTACGGAGTTGGTAAATCATGTTGTTAAAGCAAAATAGGTTTTGTTGTTGAAACAAATTTTTGCTTTTGTTTTATTTGAAATATATGTGGTATGGGTGTGGCACAACAGCAAGTTACTGTTTGATGAATGAACATCACGGTGACATAATGATAATAATCTAGGTGATTTGTGTGTATTATCTGTGTGAAAATGTGAGTTTTCAGTTCATATACTTTAAGAATTAAATTTTGTTGTGAACAAAGCCAGTATTTCAGACTTTCATCAATCATGGCAACCCAAAAAAGATCTTATTTTATTTAGCAAGTCAGTCAAAGTGTTGAACAAAATATCACCACCAGCCTAGGGTCTTGACTTGAGCTGATGAAATTCCTGTGTGGGTTCTAGGGCCTCATCTTGGGGAGAACAAGAATACACCGAAGTTGGAATTCATTCGCCTGAAAGGTGAGGAACCAGCAATCTGCTTTCAAATAAGTCAGATCTGTAAAACAGATCTGCACGCAAAACTCAAGTTCTGTAACAAGGCCAGCATCCTGAATTGGACAAAACCAGAACTTCCACCAGTGTTTACAGCCGGTGAATGTGAAGAAAAAGATTGGATAACAATAATTAAATATACACCATACGTTTTGTAATTTATTTGGTCTTGCACTTTGTTTAATGTCTGATTGTGAATAATGGGAATTTAGCTCTGGGGTTTATCGTCTAGTTTTGTCTCGTCTTTTTTTCTGCCTGTTCCATAATGCCAGACTGGCATGTGAGTGTCCTATTTGTTTGTCATACAAATAATAACAGCATCTTATTTGTTTCGTCAGATTGATTTTAACTTCTAAACATGGAGACTACAAAAAAAGGTTCTGTGGCAGTCGATGCTCTGTCTCCCTCGAGAATTACTGACTATTTTAATAGTTCAAGGACGAAAAGTAAAGGTACAGTATTTCTTAACTTAACTATATTTTTTATCGCAGTTTTTTTGGGCGTCTGGCAAACCTTGTACCATGCACTGACTTGCTCTTGAGTAGCTAGAGCATGTTGGTTTGAATAGAATCAATCTAGAAATGCATGCTGAAGCTGGACACTGACCTCCGAACAAGAGAAATGTGTAGCTGTGTGTGGTGATGCCTTTAGTTGTAGATTGGAGACATGATCATAAAGACGTAGATTAGAGACATGATCATAAAGACGTAGATTGGAGACATGATCATAAAGACGTAGATAGGAGACATGATCATAAAGACGTAGATAGGAGTCATGATCATAAAGACATAGATTGGAGGCATGATCATAAAGACGTAGATTAGAGACATGATCATAAAGACGTAGATAGGAGTCATGATCATAAAGACGTAGATTGGAGACATGATCATAAAGATGTAGATTGGAGACATGATCATAAAGACGTAGATAGGAGGCATGATCATAAAGACGTAGATTAGAGACATGATCATAAAGATGGATATAGGAGACATGATCATAAAGATGTAGATTGGAGACATGATCATAAAGATGTAGATAGGAGACATCATAAAGATGTAGATTAGAGACATGATCATAAAGACACGATTTATTAAATTTAAATCTGTCTACCAACAAATGAATATGGCTACATTTGTGAATACCAGCTATTGTAAAATATATATTCTAATAAATTTTAATGTAGCACCCGTAAAAACACTTTTTAGAGTATCTAAAAAAAAGCACTCATTTTTTATGTGAATTGCATGGTTTTTTTTTAAAGTAAAAAGAACCTAATTAACCTAAGTAAATTGAATATTTATAATATTATTGGAAAACTGCAAATGTCACAGCGGCTGTGTCTTCCTTGTCATCATGGAGAGTGTGAATTTATAGCAGTTGACATATATTTCTATGAGCAGGCGGAGAGAAATGAAAGACTTCTTACAGCCAGATGAAAACTACTAGTGCATCTGCCGGAGTCATGCCCAACCTTGTAAAGAATATGAGATATTTTCCAGAATTATCTGGGCAAGGAAGGGAACTGGCTACCCCACCTCATGTTTTGAAGCTTAGCATGAGTGAAGGCAGCTGAAATAAAACATGGAGAACAGCTAAAACAGTTATTAATAAATTACGATTAATTAACAGGTTACTGTACAGAAAAGAGGGCATTAAATGGCAGGACAGAATCACTAATGTGAAGCTTAAGGAGATAATTAACCGAATAGCATTGAACCAAAGAATAGGGCTTGGCCTGAGCTGGTTGAAGGCCTATGCTGCAATTGGGATACAGGGAAGAAAAAAGAAGAAGAGTTGAGGATTCATACCCCAATAACAGTATTTTCTTTCAACTACTTTTAGATTTGTACTAGAACCATTCTTTTGTTTGCATGTAGGTCAACGTGTCAGCACCAAGCAGCTTCAGCAGATATCGGCGGCCTCCATCTACTTGACCCCAGAATCGTCACCCAGCGGTGACTTTGGCTCAGATCCTCCAAGAGAAGGGGACGAGACTTCATCCACGATAAGTGTCAGCTCAACCCAGGATCCTTGTCCTAGTTCAGACATTCAAACAGTTGATAATACACCGGTGCCAGCTGGTAGTGTACCTGTTGTTTCCAATCTGCCAGATAGCACATACATAACTAATTCTCACCAAAATTAGCGCAAGCTCAAATAAAAGCAATGAAGACTTAAATCTTCATTGTGGATGTGAAGATGTGAATACTGACAGTTCACAAGTGCTTGTACAACTTGCTGAAAAGCCACCAGTGCACTTACAAAGCACAGAAAGTTTGAATTCAAAGCCCTCAAAATCCAGGCATGCCAAAGGAAGAAATCCGGACACTGTCTCAGAAACCAGTGAGTTGCAGGCAACATCCCCTTCAGTTCCAAGACCAAAACTTAGGAAAAGTACAAAATCCAACTCACAGGCTGATGCTTTGTCACCTGCCAGTAATGTACCAGCGAAACCCAAGCCTGTTCGCAGAAAGTGAGTAGATCATTCGTCTGATGTTTTTGTAACAGCGTTATTAAAACTCTTGTTCCTCGTGTGGATTCCAGGACCTTATTCTGTTTGTAAGGGGAGGAAGGCAGCAAATAATACACCCACTGCCTTGCCACCCACCACCAAGCATGTCATGAAGGGTATTTCAATTGGGAGTGGCTCTGCTTAAGAGATGAAGAACCAAAGTCTGCATTCAAGCAGGTCTTTAAAAGAGAGATGCATACAGAACTCAAGTTCTGGAGTAAGGCCAAAGTCCAGAAGTGGATGAACAACCAGAGTTTACAGCTAGTGAAGAAGACGATAAAACTCTTCTGCCGATTTGCCTGCATTTTATTTTAGTGTGTTTTATTCGATCTAGATGTGAATTGATCTAATCAACCAAAAAAATTGTAATTATCTGCGAGGTAAACTTAATATATCTAAAAGGATTGGATGCCTTTTGGCGAGACAGTTTAGACAGATTTAAGAAGCGTTACAGAGTAAACGTCCTGATCAATTTAGAAGTGACACCCTAGTTTATGGCCCATTGGATTAAGGAACCAGAGATCTTTGAAGAAGAAACAGGTTTAAAAGAATTCCCCCCTCATATACAACAAATGGGGATTTGTTGGCATCTTTCTGTTTTTCCAGACGATAGTTTTAAATTGTGCCAAGGAAAAGTAAATGAAGAAAGTACCCGCTCTCCCTAGCACAAAGCCCGGGCAGTATTGTAGAGATTATGTGTTGCCAGTGCATCACAATCCCTCACTTGGCACGCCTTGTTTACTCCAAAGGAAAGATAACACAAAGCACGCTGTAGAAGCTGCCGGATCAGAAGAGCAGTGCTTAGTCTGTCCGCATGTCGGAGCTTCCCTCCTAGACCAACTTCCAGCCAAGGCTAAGGGCCTGGTCTGCCCTGACATAACACAAAGTTTTCAGGTTGCATTTCCTCTTCCTAGGATAAGACTAGTATCCTCGCCCAGTGAGCTGCTACACTTGAAGTTGCTGGCACAGTGTGGAATGTCAGGTTTGGTATTCACCACCTTACACTCGGCACTAACAGAAGACAGGTAGTGCCAGCTACTGTTATATGGTAGCTTACTCACATCTGACCAGGGCCTGACCAAAACTGGGGACTAATAATCATAATAATAATTCCGTGCTGTGACCAACATTGTTTGTTTATGGTAACTGAGTGTTCTTAAGCATGTTTGTGTTAAATCGGTTTTAATGTGTTTTATTTTGCTTTTATATCATTATTATATTTTAAAATGATTTGTTTTGTTTTTTGGGTAATTTATTTCAAACAGAACTTTTCTTATTTCATGCATCATTTGTTTTTCTTTCTTATAAAAATTGTTCTCCATGTGATTTTCTTTATGTTACAGTTTCATGTCATGTAACCTCTTCTAATTCATGACAGGAAATGTGGTCTGTTTGACTGCCTGCCCTGTACATGACAGTTAAGAACTGATCCATGCCTTGCCACATTGTTCTGTATCATCACCATTTATTTTACAGAAAAAAGGAGCCTGAACCAGTACAGAAGAATGTAATCACAGATTTCTTCCCCGTGAGGCGCAGCGGGCGAATCACTAAGTCTGAAATTGAGGTACAGTAACATTTTTAGTTTAGACAAGATTTGGCAAATGGAAGTGAAAATATCCAGAAACAACAAACTAAATAAACTGGTTTTCTTTTAAGAACCATACAAAATTGTGCTGTCTTCACAGTGAATGTTGGGTGCTGTTTATCCACTGCTGTGGGGAAAGCGGGGGGGTTATGTGGTGCTGCTTGACCCAGTCTCTTCCATGGTGAGACTCTTGTACTGCTCTCCACAAATAAATTGAATGCAAAAAAACACGAGCTATAAAAATATATGCAACATATTTCAGTGCCAAGTTTTTGTGTGTGTGGTTTTGTTTGGTCCTTAAAATGTTTTGTGTGGCACATGTGAACTGAAATTTTCTTGTAATTTCAGAAAGAGAAACACCACCAGCTGGAACAAATGATTTTAAGTAAATGTGAAGATGGATTAAAGGTTTGTTATATTTATTCTTTGTAATTGCTCTTTGTTCAGGTTTAACAATAGTTTTTATGATGTTGCTGTTGCCACTACAGCTGTGTGCTTGTGAGTCATGGAATACTCAACAGAGTAGATCTAACCGGAGGACACAGGGAGACGTCTGTAGAGTGCTGAAGATTTCAAGAACAGTTAAGATGACTATCCAAAACTTCAGAGATACAATTGATACCTGAGCCACGACCGCAGTCTGTAACTGTAGTTTGTGATGCCTTTAATGTGTCATTGCCCAAGAATTTAAACAAATTTTTGTTGTTGCTAAAGTGGATCTCCAACACACCTTGACTTTTGTCTTAATTGAACACTTTCAGATTGCTGTTTGTCCATCTCTTCATTGTGTTCTCCCATTTGTTGTCAGCCACTTGCCTTGTTCTTTTTCCTTCAGCGCGGTTCAAAAAGAAATTAATCTATCCCATGAGCTTTACTGTTACCATTTATGGATCACACAGTGGCAAGATGTTTGACTTACTGAAGGTCCCGGCTTTAAGGCAGTTTTCATCAGTGACCCAGGCTACCAGGTCAACCAGCCTAAATTAGGTACCATGTGTCCTGGCTCAAGCAGACATGAATGATACAGGTATTGATGTTGAATCAAAACAGTATGCAGTGTGCCGTGCATCATATTGCATAAAGAAGTGAGCAGATTAGAAAGGCAATAGGGATTTTTTAAAAAAAAGAAAGATTATAAGGCAGGTAAAGAGTTGAGTGTCCGAGAAGAAACATGTCAGAAGCAGGTGACGGCAACATCGGTCCTGAAATCTCCTGCACTGTTTGTGAACAATTCTTTTTTCTAGTCACACTCAACGTCGCCATGGGTTGTTACTCCCCTCCCTCATTATTGCACAATGGAACACTCATCTGAAAAGATAGAAAGATGGCAACAGTGTCCTGGGTTGTAAATGTGCCAGCCATCATGTTAACCTCATCATGCACTGTCTTGATTAGTCTGTAGTAATATGGACCAGTGCACCTGTGGCATCTTTCTGTTTTGTTTTCTTTTAGGTGACATCCTAGAGCTGCAGCTATGTGTGCTGTAGTCACATTTGAGCATTTCTAATGTAGAGAATGCATATTACTACAGCTAGAACTGTATGACCATAGCAGGCTGTACTACCTGTAGCTGTGGGTACTTTAGCTGGGGTACTGTCACAGCTGTGAGTACTGTCTCAGTACTTCCTGATTCCACAGTTGTCAATAACTGACTTATTGTGGTATGTGTGTCACCACTACATCCATGTGTATAATTGTGGTATGTACATCACCACTACAGCCATGTGTATAACTGTGGTATGTACATCACCACTACATCTATGTGTATAACTGTGGTATGTACGTTACCACTACATCCATGTGTATAATTGTGGTATGTACATCACCACTACAGCCATGTGTATAACTGTGGTATGTATGTTACCACTACATCCATGTGTACAGTTGAATGTACGTCACCACTTCATCCATGTGTATAATTGTGGTATGTACGTCACCACTACATTCATGTGTATAATTGTGGTATGTACATCACCACTACATCCATGTGTACAGTTGAATGTACGTCACCACTACATCCATGTGTATAATTGTATGTACGTCACCACTACATCCATGTGTACAGTTGAATGTACGTCACCACTGCATCCATGTGTACAGTTGAATGTACGTCACCACTACAGCCATGTGTATAACTGTGGTATGTATGTTACCACTACATCCATGTGTACAGTTGAATGTACGTCACCACTACATCCATGTGTATAATTGTGGTATGTACGTCACCACTACATCCATGTGTATAATTGTGGTATGTACATCACCACTACATCCATGTGTACAGTTGAATGTACATCACCACTGCATCCATGTGTACAGTTGAATGTACGTCACCACTACATCCATGTGTATAATTGTATGTACGTCACCACTACATCCATGTGTACAGTTGAATGTACGTCACCACTACATCCATGTGTATAATTGCGGTATTTACGTCACCACTACATCCATGTGTATAATTGTGGTATGTACATCACCACTACATCCATGTGTACAGTTGAATGTACGTCACCACTACATCCATGTGTATAATTGTGGTATGTACGTCACCACTACATCCATGTGTACAGTTGAATGTACGTCACCACTACATCCATGTGTATAATTGTGTTATGTACGTCACCACTACATCCATGTGTATAATTGTGGTTATGTATGTCACCACTACATCCATGTGTATAATTGTGGTATGTACATCACCACTACATCTATGTGTACAGTTGAATGTACGTCACCACTACATCCATGTGTATAATTGTGTTATGTACGTCACCACTACATCCATGTGTATAATTGTGGTTATGTACATCATCACTACATCCATGTGTATAATTGTGGTTATGTACATCACCACTACATCCATGTGTACAGTTGAATGTACGTCACCACTACATCCATGTGTATAATTGTGGTATGTACGTAACCACTACATCCATGTGTACAGTTGAATGTACGTCACCACTACATCCATGTGTATAATTGTGTTATGTACGTCACCACTACATCCATGTGTATAATTGTGGTTATGTACATCATCACTACATCCATGTGTATAATTGTGGTTATGTACATCACCACTACATCCATGTGTACAGTTGAATGTACGTCACCACTACATCCATGTGTATAATTGTGGTATGTACGTCACCACTACAGCCATGTGTATATGGTGATAGTATCACAACTATAGCTGTGTGTAAAACTACCACATGTCAGATATTCTACTGGTCAGACAGAAATATCATTTCTGTCAGAGACAAATCACTGAAGTAATTTTGTGTTTATCGTTCTTGTAGTTTTGTAGATTTATGTAACGTGCTGATGAAGGCTATCTAGCTGAAATGTTCACTGGTTGTGTATCTGTGAGATTGTGAAGCTGACAGTTTCTACTGTTTGCGTTTGGTTTGATATCTTTTCACCAGTGGCATTAAATTCTGTATTTATTATGGCTTTTTTTTACAAAAAAATTACTTTTTTGACAAGCATGTCTTTTTGCAGGTAACAGACTTTGACAACAAAGGCAGAGGTGTGGTAGCTACCAAAGAGTTTGAGAAAGGTGACTTTATAGTTGAGTATGCTGGAGAACTGATCGACACTGCTACTGCTAAACAGCGGGAGAAGGACTACGCTGCTAATCCAGAGATAGGCTGCTATATGTACTTCTTTAACTTGGGGCCCAAGAGTTACTGGTAAATACTGTTTTCTGGCACATTTTTTAGTTTCTTCTGCTATTTATTTCTTTGGCACGTTTTGTTAAAATTGATCTATCTTTTTCTATCCTTTTTTTAATTTACTCTCTTTTTTTCTACTTTCTCTCTCTCTCTCTCTCTCTCTCTCTCCTCTCTCTCTCTCTCTCTCCCTCCCTCTTCCCACTTTTTTTTTTTTTAAACAAAATTTTTTTTTCCTACTAAACCGTCCGCTGTCATATTTTTTGTCATCTTCTGGAGTTCTGTCCATGTTTTCGCCCTGTTATTCCTTTCTCTCATTTCATCTGTGTTACATTTGCTTTTCTGTCTCCCTGTTTTTCTTTTGGATTCTAGTTTTAAAAAAAAAACATTCTCGTTTTACTATACTTTATATTCATATCAAACTCCAGTGGAAAGTTCTGGTTGTTCATCCACTTCTGGACTTTGTTCATGGTTTAGGACTTGAGTTTTGCACCACACTCATTTTAAAGATATGGCTTATGTGTATGCAGCCTGTTGGTTCCTCAGCTCTCAGATGGATGCAGACAGACTTGATAAGACTAAAATCAGGAGCATACCGTGGACTTTCTGTCCAAGATATTCAGGTGTGCAAGGTAATGAGCTGGCTGATAGATTGGCTGCTGTTGCTGCTCTGGACGATGAGCTGTTTTGTGATTAAGTGGAAGTATTGAAGGCTTTCTGGCATCAAGTAGACCAAAAACAAAAATGAAACAAAGAGTTCCATTCATTAAAAGACTTATTCATCACTGGGTGTGCAGAGGTTCTGAAAGATATACAGTAGTGAGTAGGGAAACATGGGTAGATGTTTAATCAGGTTGCAACTGGTACTATTAGCACCTCAGCTCTTCGTTGGCTACTGAAGAAGGGGACGGAGCACACGTGGAAATGTCCCTGATTGCAGTGATGTCCATTCTTGGTTCATTTATTTCATACGGGTATATTCCTGGGAAAAATGTATTGTCATTTGTTTGCTGTCAAATAATTATACATTTTGTCTGTATCCCCAGTGTGGATGCCACTGCTGAATCTGGCCGCCTCGGCAGATTAATAAATCACAGCAGAGAGGGTAACTGCTGCACAAAATCTGTTATCGTGAACAGTAGACCTCGTCTCATTCTCTTGGCCAATAAGAACATCAGGTGTGGAGAGGAGCTGAGTTACGACTATGGCGACCGCAGTAAAGCTGCTATTGAGGCTCATCCTTGGTTAAAATTGTGATTTTTGCTTTTTGGAGCTGTGTGGTCTTGCTGTTTTGTCCAGATTTTTCACCATTTTCAGTTTAAAGATAATTTACTATAAAAAGATGACAGTAAAAACTGTCATTTCATTATAATGCATTTAGATACCTTTAGCAGCATTACCTTGGATAATGTACGGACAAGAAAAGGCACGTGGCAATCTTTAACTTTATAATCATGAATTATGCAAATTGAGTTGTGAAGGTTGCTTCTGTATTTTAAGATGTTACCAGAAATCAGGTGACATTGTGAATGTTTAAGTATGCCTTAGATCCTCAAATACTCCCTGTGCAAGCGCTTATGCTTACATTTGTGTCTTATTTTAATAATATTTGTGGTACTTCTGCATGAGCACTTTACACAGGATATTTTTTCTTCTTCGCCTTTTGCCCTTGAAAGGGTGGTTGGAACGTTGTCTTGGGTTTACAGCTAGGCATCTGTGCCAACACATCAAGTTTCAGCAAATCCCTAATTTACCTTTTGCAACATGCTTTTTAAGGTGCAGTGGACCGTCTTCTTTTCTCTGTGCCCAGAAATGAGCTCCCAGAACACACACACTGGAACGACAGGAGTGTCAGGGTGATTGAATCGACTTCATTGTGCCAGGTTTTATTTCAGGTGACTGTAACTCTCTCTGCAAAACAGGTAGCACACATGCTGGAAGTATCTCATAAAGCTCTGTAGCTTCCATGATAAAATGTTTCAAACATCCACACTCAAGAACAGACTAACCAACACCTAAACCATGACCTCGAGAGCATATGGAAAATGTTGTAACCACATTATCATGGATATTATCTTATTTGCTTCTCTTTATCCTCGATATTATCTCATTTGCTTCTCTTTATCATGGATATTATCTCATTCGCTTCTCTTTATCTTGGATATTTTTAATTTGCTTCTCTTTATCATGGATATTATCTCATTTGCTTCTCTTTATCAGGGATATTATCTTATTTGCTTCTTTTTTATAAGGGATATTATCTCATTTGCTTCTTTTTATAAGGGATATTATCTCATTTGTTTCTCTTTATCAGGGATATTATCTCATTTGCTCCTCTTTATCAGGGATATTATCTTATTTGCTTCTCTTTATCCTGGATATTATCTCATTTGTTTCTCTTTATCATGGATATTATCTTATTTGCTTCTCTTTATCTTGGATATTATTTCATTTGCTTCTCTTTATCTTGGATATTATCTCATTTGCTTCTCTTTATCATGTATATTATCTCATTTGCTTCTCTTTATCATGGATATTATCTCATTTGCTTCTCTTTATCATAGATATTATCTCATTTGCTTCTCTTTATCTTGGATATTATCTCATTTGCTTCTCTTTATCATGGATATTATCTCATTTGCTTCTCTTTATCATGGATATTATCTCATCTGCTTCTCTTTATCATGGATATTTTTCATTTGTTTCTCTTTATCCTGGATATATTTTATTTGCTTCTCTTAATAGAGCATGGGTTTGGCTTAGAAATTAGTGATTGTGTTTAATCGTCCATTGATCCTTGTGTTCTAGGGTCTTTCTGCGGTGGACATTTTGTTTAAACCACATCTGTTGTAATTTTCGGGCAGTGCTACAGTAGTTAGTTAGTGTTGCGGGAGTATGGCCGTAGCACAAAACTTGCACCATGGAAGAGATAGGGCCTTACCAGGTATTTCAAAGTATTTCAAACAGTGGTACACCGAAGCCAGTCATCTTGGGAAGATGCCACACAATTTACAGTGTTTTAGGAGCATGAGAGCCAGATCAGGTTGTCCACCCCTGCAACAGTTACCTGGCATGGTGTAGTCAGGAAAGGCTTGCTTCCCTTTGAAGGATCTCATTCAAAGTAATGCTAACTACATAGCCATGGGTGAAGTCTTTCTCCCATTTGGCAGGGTACTTCCTTTTCAACATTTTTCTTTCCCATTCTTGTGGAGTTTTTAACTACACACAATTTACACGAAAGGCATTCATCATTTGCTCATATTCAAGATGGTAAGTTGTTCCAATCTCATTACCAAATGACATACTTAGAACATTTTACATAATTGAAAACCATTGTTTTATTTTACATCACCCATCTTTGTGCCCATTGGTCTATAAAAATATAGGTCTAGCCCTATATGCCCTCTACTCCTAAGGCGTTGGAAAAGTGTCCTTTACTAATGTTTTATTTCTCAGCAATTGCCAGCCTTTTTGTGGGATTGAACCGGGTGGCTGGTAAGAACTATATTGGTACTGAAATCTACCTCTCAGTCGTATTTCTTAGTGTGTGTTTGTTTGTGTGCAATACTTTGTGCGATTCCATTTCATGGCAGCGTTTTATGCATTTTGATTTGGTCACTGCAATGCCATGTTATCTGTCCGTTTGCTCCACGTTGATTCTGAGAAGATTCCTAAGCTGCGGTCATCCCCAGGGTGAACCCTATATACCATTCATGTCATAATGTTATGAGAACTGTCAGGGCGATGGATAAATTTGTTGTCAACTAGCAACTGGAAATGTAAAAAAGCATATGCTTGCAGACAGTTTTGGCCTTGTTTCAAAATGAGATTTTGAATGAGGCAAATGACCATAGAATACCATAAAAGCAAATTCAGTTCAATTTTTGGCATTTTGTATTAAAGATATCAATTATAGGTACTGCTGTTTGAAATACTACTTGGCAACTCAGAGTTGTTAACACTGTTCTGCTGAAACTTGCACCAAATGTGGGAGAGTATAAATGAGTGCTGTACCGAACATTCGCTTCGGGTCCGAATAGTGGACCTAATAAGTATTCAGTATTCGGCCGAAATACTTGCGGCCAAGCCGCAAAAATGGTTACGTTACACCCGCTTCTGCATACACGGTGGCTGCTGCAGCCACTGCGAATTACTTATTATAATACTTAGAATACTTTCATTTCTAGTTATTGGTTACAACAAACTGACTGAAGGAGGCAAACCATAAAATGTCTTGAAAAGTTTACTATTCTTTACTGCATTTTTGTGTTTAGCGTACATTTGACATTATGAATTTTTTTTTTTAGTTCTCTTTTTTACCCAAGACACTTTGTATTTGGCTGATTAGTTAGTCCCGTTATTCGAATTTGGCTCACTAGTGATAATCACCTGCACTGTACAGCTCTTGTATAAATTTCATTTGGTGTTTGGGAAATGGATAAAGCTTTGCAAGTTTTCTCATTGTTTCATTTACTTTTTTTCTTGACACCGTATTTATTACATACATATAAACACATTATTTTGGTGGGGGGGGGGGGGGATTTCTGTTTCCACCAGGGCAGTTGGCATCTGTGAATTTATGAATCCACTGCTGTTGTGGAGAACATTATCTGGTGGGACTGTGATCCTTTTCATAGTGTGACTCTCGTACCATTTTCCAGCAGCCACGAGATGGTGTGTTGCAGAGACAGAAAATGTTTCAATTATCAAGTAATAGAGAAGATCAACTTTTTGTTCAATATGGCACAATCTCTCAGTTCCCAGAGATCCCTATAAACATTGCACCTGTAAGCTGAATGACGCAGCCGTGAAATGAACCCACAACTTCATCGCGCAAGGAAGCAGCTTGACCACTTTGCCACAGAGTATGTCCTAGTATGTTTAAATAATTCCTTTCCCCTCCCCGGCTGCTCCTTTTTTGGAGAAAAGAATTGACACCCCCCCCCACAAGAATGTAGTAAAAGTTCACTGTAGGAGCAGTTCCTTTGGTCGGTGTGCACCTGCCTAAATGGCGAGGAACCAACAGTCTGCATATAAATAAGCTAGATCTGCAAAACTCAAGTTCTAGAACAAGCTGAAAGTCCAGAGATTATGAACAACCGGAATTTACAGCCGGTGATCACAAAGAAGAAACAGTGACCACACACCAGTTTTTTCTATAGCACACTCTCTATTCCATCCTCTGTTTTGGAATTTTATATTGTGTGTTTATTTTAATGTATTCTTCTTCTTTGCATTCCCCGTTTGCTCTGTTCACTCTGATGGAAAGTTCTGGTTGTTCATACCACTTCTGGACTCTGGTCCTGTTCCAGAACCTGTGTTGCCTGCACATCCGTTTCACAGATCTGACTCATTGTATGCAGATTGTTGGTTCCTTGCCTTTCAGAGGGATGCGCACTCCGACTTTAAAGGAAGCTCCCAATTAGTCAACTTATACACATACTTTTTGGTAGGCAGTTTGTCTAATCTTGCTTTTCCCCACAATTAGGCCCTATAACCCGCACGGGGATAATGTACCATTGAAATGTATTTGTGTGTGTTGGCGTATCCTATTGAAATGTATTTGTGTGTGTTGGCGTATCCTATTGAAATGTATTTGTGTGTGTTGGCGTATCCTATTGAAATGTATTTGTGTGTGTTGGCGTATCCTATTGAAATGTATGTGTGTGTATGTTTAATTAAATTCTTGTATTCTTCATTTGTGTGTACATACTTTAAATACCTTATATTATGTATATGTGTACATAATATTACAGTTTAAGAATGTGTGTGTATGTGTATACTCATGTGTGTGCTTGTCAAGTATTTTAATCTGTTCATGTTTGTAGTACTGTATATTTATAAAAAAAGATGGGATTTAGATCTCCTTAGTGATCACTCTAAATGGGGTGAAGTGATCAGGAGATAGGGTGAAGATGTTTGGAATGACAATGGCAAGCCACTTCTCAGATTCTGTAGAGAACAGATTTTTATCATTGCAAACATAGTTTCCCCACAAACGCTGTCATTTATACACCACATGTAAATCATTTAAAGAATGAAAAATCCATTATTGAAGGAAAAGTTGGTTCAAGTTTGAGAGAGATGTCAGTGGATCTGTCACAGTTACGACGGTTTGAACATGTCCAAGCGGAATGGGTGAGATTCGGCCACCTTGGCAGACCTACAAGGCCAAGAACCCGGACGAGCCAGATTTTGCTGGGAAGACAACATCTGAATGTCGTCGACTGACAGAGGACTCTAATGGAACACAGGCA